GAAACTCTCCAGGATCTTCATACTTGCAAGGCAAACACCTCACCAGCAGAGCTGGCCCAGCTTTGTCAGTTTTCTAAAGAGATGCCCAAGAAGGTTTGACATTTGGCTGCTATGTTCAGGTGTTTTTATTCCTTGGTTTAGCAAAAGCTGCTGAGAATTAAGACACAACTTAATCCAAGAATTAACCTCAAGGACTCAATTTATGAAGTTTCCTTTCCTACAAAGCAGAAGATATTTTAGATCCTCATGTGGACAGTGGAGTTTGTTCTATCACACAATCCTGTGGCCATTTCTCAATGTCCGAAAGGACCTGGTCCAAATGCATGGGCAAAAAGCAAACTGAGTGTTGCCTCAGGATAAATCTCTGAGTTCACACAACCAAACACTAGGAGAAGTGCAGGGAGTCTTGGGGGGGGGGGGGTTAGAAGGACCCAGAGGGGCCAGGAGCTCCACAAGAAGACCCACAATGCCAACTAACCATGACTCAGAGTGCTTGCAAAGACTGAAGCACCAACCAAGGACCATGCATGGACTGGACCTAGGCCCCTACACAGACGTACCCAATGGGTAGCTTGGTCTTCATGTGGGTTCCCTAGTAAGGTGAGCAGGGCTGTCCCTGACATGGACTCTGCCGACTGCTTTTCAATCACTTCCTCCTGGCAGGACTACATCACCAGGGCACAGGAAAGGAGGGTGCACTCAGTCCTGATGTAACTTGATGTGCTGGGCTGAGTTGGTAGTGGAGGGTGGCTCCCCTTTTTTGAGAAACAGGGGAAGGGGGAGAAAGGGTGGGACTGGGAGAAGAGAAGGGAGAATGCTATGATCAGGATGTAAAGTGAAAATTAATCAATCAATTAATTAAAAATCTCTGAGTCCATACTGCTTCAATCCAGAGCCCTACTCACGCCTCACCATAGTGACTCCAAATAAGATACATAACTGCTCTGTCTCAGTCTCTCATCTGCAAAACGGAAATAATAGGAATGCTATACACTGGGCTTCCTGTGAATACTCAGTAAGTTAAATTTAGTTACTTGTGTTTAAGTAAATATCTAAATGTATTAAATTAAAAATTAGATCAAGCTCATTTGGAAGTTGAGCTCAATAAATGAGTTCACAATTAGAACAGTATTAGCATGTGATGAAAGCTGTGAGTGAGTTTACCATGATGATGAGAAGGAGGATGGGGATGATGATGGGGATGATGATGGTGATGATGATGGTGATAGGTGGTGGTGATGATAATGATAATTATCAGGATGGTGGTAGTGGTGATGGTCATAGTGATAATTCCTTTTCCTTGAATCATACTCACAGCACATGCAAGTAAAATACTTTATTGCACAAGATGACTACAAACATTGAAAAATCAGTAATACACATACAAGAACACCTAAATGCTAACAGTTAGACTCAGCAACCCAGAACCCAATAGCCACACTCAATGACATTCACTCAATGTCATTTCCCAGGAAGCTTCCAGGCCAACATCCTATCCTGGTCCCCACTGACAATACTACACTTTTTCCCTTTTCCATATGACAAGAAGAGATTCCTCCTGTCACCTAAGATAAAAACTATGCCCTCTTATTTTACTACTACAAAAGACAGCTGGCAGGGGTTCAAAGGAGGTGAGTCCCCATCCAGAAAGTCTCAGGAAAAAACAGGCGAGTCCCTTGGAGTAGGGAAGCCAGTTTCCAGTTAAATAGAGTCTAGGAACAGCACTTGACTATCCAGAAAATAGATGAGGTGGTGAGGGTTAAAGGCTTGTGTAGAGATTACAACAATCTGCAAAAGGGGATAGAAAGTGCAGTAGGAAAAACCTCAACACTGCCCAGGAGGGGAAACACTCATCAGCAGAATGGTAGCAGCCCTGTGCGGGGGAAATCCCAGGCTCTCAGAGCTACAACAGGCAGAGTGGAGATTGCACAAGGTCTGTGCAATCAGTACTGGAGATGACCGACCACCGTCCATGTGTGGGGTGCTCAGAGCTGCTTGTGAGCTCCAGGCATCTTGGAGAACAAGATGACAGGGACTTGAAATAAGTTGAGGGACTGATGTTCACAGCACTCAAAAGAGCACACCAAAACAAGATTAGCACAGCTATGCACACAATTACTGCACAATCCCACGTGGGCAGTGTTTCAATGCCTTGGATGCTGAAGTTCGTACACAGGGTCCAAACAGGCTAACTCTACCTTCTGATGGCTTAAAAATTAAAATATCTGCCTGATAAAGTCTAACAGCATTTTCACCTAAGACAGACCATGAGAGCATCTGATCTGGAGGTCACTGACAGAATTATGAAAGAAAAAAAAAAAAAACCCTCTGTCCCAAAGGTCTAGAAACTTCCTCAAGGTTGAACTGTTTCTGCTTCATTCCTGATGCTGCTCTGCTGTAGGGATAAAACCTTCAACTGGCATAACAACTACAGTCAACCCAAGAAAAACACTTCCCCAGGTCACCTGGTGAGGGCATTCTTTTCCAGCATGCCTATACCATCTCCCAGAACTAGACAGTGCCTAGAAAATGATCCTGTGGGCTCGAGTGATGACTTCACTTGGAACTGAGCCCATTCTAAGCCTCAGATACATTCTTCACACCCTTCAGAAAGAAAAGGTATCAGAAAGAGACTTCCGACAGACCTAGCTCTCTGGTATGTTAGCTGAGGGAACGTGGCTGCCATGACAAGTGGCCTTCAGACTCTCATTGGTATTAAATTTTCTCCTCAAATAATAGTCCAATGCCAATGAAATCAACCAGGAAGACTCAAAAAATCCTTACCCGTTCTCCTCTCCCAGGAGCTCGGAGGTGGCTTCTCTGGGGGAAACACTGAACACTTGTAGTTTTTAAGATTCCCCTGGGAATTCTAGTGAGCAGCCACGTGGAGATTCACTGAGACATGGATAACCATGACTCCCCATTTCTTACCATTTAGACCTCTATTTGGCTCCAAAGGGTCTAAACTAGAAAGTTCTCTGGTGGCTTAAGCTTGATATGATGTTTTAAAAGCTCAGGGAGAAGCCTTGTAGGGAAAGTCCATGTAGCCAAATCTATTGCAAGAGTCTCCAGGTTAACTCAGTGTCCTATTTGTGGATGAGCCCAGATGAGCCCTCTAACCAGACTTTGTGGGTTCTTCTTTCTTTTGCCCTTCTCCAACCTTTTCCTAGCATTTCAACCCCTCAAGTATGTAAGAGAGAAAAAAAGGATTGAGGGGAAAGGGAGCGACATTATCATTAGACTATTTCTTGCTGATTAGTGACATCAAGTTCCTTGGGGAAAGTTTAATCTTTGTCCTTATCTAATTCCTTCTTCTTGTTTCTTAGCACACAACTACTTAAACCTCGACCATCAGCAACCAACCACCACCAACAACAAACAACCTCTTATGGTCCTACCTTATATGTATCCTCTGAAGACTCCCCAGAATTCCAAGCACCACACGATCACAGTAACTATCTGCAGCTGACAAAATCACACCCTTGCTAGAGCACAAGGCAAATCATATCAGCTGCTGTGGGCAATCTGAAGCAGCCCATACCCCACACATGGGGTCAAAATGAAAACACAGTCTTATAATATTTTTCACTACATCATCCCTCCTATTCTGAGTCTGACTTAGGTCCCCCATGGTCACCAACAGGTCTAGAGATCCACCTATTCATTCATTCATTAGTGTGTGAGGAAGAAGCAGAAGGCAGTGGGGAACAGCATTGTCTCTGGAGCCCAGTTCAGTGCTCAGTTAGCCATGCACCAGCTACAAAGCCAAGACAGTGACTATCCTAGTTTGCTTTCCCTACCTTGATAACCCGTGACCAGAACCAGCTTCCAGGAGGAAAGGTCTATTTCACCTTACAGTTTACAGTCCGTCATAAAAGGCTGTCAGGGCAGGGACTTGACGGTGCGAGCTGATGCAGAGGCCTCGGAGGACCACTGCCCACTGGCTTGCTCTTCCTGGCTCACTCAGCCTGCTTTCTTAAACAACCCAGGACCACCCACTCAGGGCTGGCATCGCCCACAGTGGGCTGGTCTCTCACACATCAATCACTAACCAAGAAAATGTCCCAAAGACTTGCCTACAGGTCAGTCCATTAGAGCCATTTTCTCAGTTAAGTTTCCCTGTTCCCCTATGACTCTAGCATGTGTCAAATTGGAAGAAAAAAAATAGCATAGCCCATCACTTCTCTGACTCAGTTTCTGTATCTGTAAACCTAGGGGGACACCTTTACTATTTCAGCAAGTTTGGAGAGACTCAGCAAGCCAATCACTGAGAGGGCTAGAACATGGTGGGTTTCCAGGGTGTTTCAAGCCTGGGCTTCTGCTCTAGGCTTCAGGCAGTGCAGAAAAGAACGCTGCACCACTGCTCTCAAAAACTTCACAACTGGCATAGGAGGGAGGCAGGCAGACAGATGGACAGACTGTGGTATGCGTGACTGGGTTTTTGTGATACAGTATACAAAATTCAGAAGGAACAGGAGAGAAAGTGTTCCTGAAAGAGATGGTATTGGATTTAGCTCAAAGGGCTGGATTAGAGGAAGAGGCTCAGTCACTCACTACTTGAATAACCTTGAAGGGAAGGAAAAGTGATCCGGAACCCCAACTGTTGGCACCAACATGAATTTTGACAACCACAGGAAGATGCAGACACCACCCTCTTCCAAGACAAGGACCAGTCTTCTGGAACATTCTCTCAATGCCTGGGACTATGCACAGTGATGGGCACCCCAGCCAATTCTCCCTATAGAAAATCTGAACCTGTATGTTGGAACAAAAAGGCTCAGGGTGCTCTATGGTGAAAGGTGGAAAGGGCAGCAGGCAAGTCCAGTGCAGAGTGGGCACAGTGACAGGAGGGAGACCCATTCCTGGGAGTTCCGCAAGGCACAGAAATCCTGGGTCAGACCTCTGCCTCAGCCCCTTCAGGAAATCCTGTCATCAACTAGGATTTATATACAGCTCAGAGTACCCAACTCCTGTAGACAATCAGTCGGGCCCCAGCTACCTTTCCTTTCTAACCAGAGAAAGGAAAGGATTTAAAGGTAGACACAGACATATTAAAGAATTCTCCAGGCACTCATCAAAGTGAGCTGAAAGAGATCACCCTAAGGGAGCCTGGCATGGGAAGGCTCAAGCATTTCCTCAGCATGCTGCTGCCTTTAATCCCACTCTTCCTGGGGTTGGTTGCACGAAGCAGCTGCACCCTAGCTGAAGCCCCTGGACAGGTAAGATCAGTACTCCCGAGTTTTTACTTGTTCACTTTGACAATGTGCTCTGGATGTTTGTTTATTTGTTTGTTTGTTTTGTTTGTTTTCCAATATAATCTTGGGGCCAAAAGCTCTGCCTGGACTTCATAAAAGTCAGGAGAAAAGTGATGCTGTCTTGGGACTGGATGAGTTGGCTGTTTCTTGTCTGCTGTTTCTGTCTCTGCAGCTGGAATCTGATTCCAGTGCTGGATGTTTCTCTTTCCCGGGCAGAGCTGCGTGTCCTGGTTTTGTTTGGAATGCCTTTGTCACTGTCAGTACCTACCATACCATCTTCCCAAATGTAGAAATCAAGCAAGGCTGTGGGAATGTGCCCAGGGGAATTCCAGGGTAGATAGGTGATGTCCTTGTTGATGACAGGAAGCACCAGCAACATTTCCAAAACCCATCATGCACTCACACATGCCTCCTGTCTTCCTCGGGGCTGTGGTGAGAGGACCACAGCGAACTTCCTTTTAGACCTCCTTCAGTGCATCAATACAAAGGACCCCACAGAAGCTCACAAGGTGCCATCCCAGTATGAGTCTATTTAAGAGGTGTTTGGAGTTTTGTATCTCAGCACCAGACAGAGCTGCCACTGTGGCAGCGAATCCACTCCAGCTGTGCTGGGAGGGCACTTTCCTAAGAAGGTGGCAGACAGCATGATGGGTACCTCTCCGGCCAAGAAGTTAGAGAGGGGTACATGCTACTTCGCAGTATTGCAGAGGACAGGCCACAGGGCTGCTCACTACATAGCCATTCAAACCCAAGCAAGTATTCCCTCTAAGCTTCAGTTGCTTCCCCAGGCAGGGCTCTGCAAATGGGAGGGACTGCTGGCCCCGTTATCTTCAGCATGGAGGGTTGCTTCTGTGCTGGCACTTGGCCTTGACCACTGTTCAAAGCTGAGTATGTTTTTTCCATTTGTCTAAGTTTATAAAAATAGTCATTCCATTTGAAAACAGTAATATATATATATATATATATATATATAGAGAGAGAGAGAGAGAGAGAGAGAGAGAGAGAGAGAGAGGTGTCAGAGATAAATATATATACTGGTGTGTGTGTGTGTGTGTGTGTGTGTGTGTGTGTGTGTGTCATGTTAACTTACTATGTAGTAAGGATGACCTTGAATGTCTGATTCTCTTGTCTCTACCTCCTGGGTGAAATAATTACAGACCTGAATCACAAACTCATGATTTTATTCAGTGTTGGGGATTGAACCCAGGGCTTTGTACTTGCCAGTGAAAATACTCTATGAACTGAGCCATATCCCCAGGGCAAAGAATTTATTTAAAAGAGAGTTAAATTGGTCATATTAAGAAGGAAACTTTAACATGACATCAACTCATCCATCTATCCGCTGAGAAACTCCAGTGTAAATGAAACCCTGCTTTTAGAAAAGTTGAATCATGCCACAACAGTTAAAGGGAGTTTTGCATCATTCTTCAAGTAAAAGCCAGGGGCCCTTTGGTCCTCCACGATCAAATGAAAGCTTCTACTAAAACTAGAGACTGTTTTTCTCTGTGCCACTTGGGTGCTTGAAGAAAGGGCTAATCAAGGGGTCAAAACTTATATGTGACCTTGGGCAAGTCATATTCCAAACTATCTGCAATCCTCGGCCCCTCCACCTCTGCAATAAGAATGGTGACCCTTGCCCAGCCCTCTGGAGCAAAGAAAATCAGGTGACACTTGATTTGAAATTCTGTGAGTGGAAGGTTCCTCCCTCTGCAGACTTTACGTATTCTGATGAACAGAGAGGCGATGATGAAATCTCCCCCACACCTGAACAGCACTGGGCTGCCAGGATGACAAAGAGATATGAGCGTGGCCCTCTACTGCCACGCTCTTAAATTCTTAAATAGAGAGCAGAGATAACATCTGGGGTCCTAGGGTTGTAGCTCAGTTGGTAATGTGTTCGCCTGGCATTCGCAGGACCCTGGGTTCTATCCCCGCGTCTGCGTGGGCTCCCCGCGATGGAGCACACCCAGCGCTTGGGAGGTGGCAGCATGAGGCTCAGAAGTTCAAGCTCATCTTTGGCCACATTTGACATTTGACATTTGGCATATTTGACAGGGAGTGTGGCTGCTCAGGACCCTCTCTCAAAAACAAAAACATAACAGTCTTCTGGAGGACTTGAATGTGAGCAAAGGAAAGAAAGAATGATGGTTTTGTAGATGAGGTGGTGACCGCAGGCCCTTGGGGGATCGAGGTTAGCCTAGGGTAGGGGACCGAACATTCCTGCAAGGTCAGAGCATCGTCAGGTTCAGAGGTAGGATAAAGAGGAGTTCCAGGAGCCACCATCTATTACTACACTCCTCTGGACACTGCCAGGTAGCTTGCAGCTGGCCCGTTGTAGAAGTCGCTACCACCGTCTCCCTTTTACAGCTAATAACAAGGAGTAGGGACTCTTTCAGGGCTGTACACTACACAAGATGTAGAATTTGACCCACACTCCACCCTGGGCTCTGAAGCTTAGTCTGCCTTTTGCAGACCAAATTTGATGGACAGATTAAGGAAGCTTGAAAGACTTGCGGTGGCGGGGGGCGGGGGGATGTCTATCCAGGAGGGTCAGGAGCAACAGGGACCAGAGTCTGCCTGTATCATTCATTTAAGCAGTTGAAAGATCCCCGGAGGGTATCTTCCGTCAGAGAGACCCCCTCCCAAAGAACAACGAGTCCATTCGGATGCAAACAGCAAGAGGCTTTTATTTTGATTCACGAGTACTCGGGGCAGCAAGGTCACTCGAGAGGACCCTGCGCGCCCCCTAGATGGGAAGCTGGGGTTTTTATAGGGTTTTAGAGGCAGAAGCACTGGTACAGAAGCGAGAGGGCATGGTTACAGGGGGCTGATTGGTACGTTTACACGAGACCACAATTTGCGTCAAAGTTTGGCAGGGGCACCAAGATTCCAGGAACTGGGTGGTCAAGGGGGGTAGGATGACCCCTTGACGTGGCCTGCCACCTGTTATTTTGTTTTCCCTATCTTAGCTGAAACAGTCTCACAGATATCTATGAGAGTGATTAACACAAACTGTTTTTAGTATGACTGGGGCAGCCTGACCACAGATATCCCAAGTGGGTGACACAGCTAGGATTTTTCAGTAATTTTCCAGTTTCTCATCTGGCCTTCAGAGTTTTACAAAACAGTGGTGTCTCACAAAATGGCATTAGCCATGTTTAACTTAGTGTGAGGCTGGGGTCTTTCACAGTTAGTTCTGGGCCACCTTATGCTGCCAAATAGCTGTTCCTAGGATGCCTGTCTGATGTCCCCAATGGGTTAATTTAATCAACATATATTTTCTGGATATCACCATGTGTCAGGCAGCGTTCTAGGGGCTCAGGCTATAGCAATAAACAACAACAAAAAAAGCCTTGCTCTCATGCCACCTGTCTTTTCATTAGATTGAAATCTAAATACTACAAATCTCTCTAGAACAGAAACTGTACACCACAGCAATTAGCACAGCACTGGACCTACAGCAGATATTCCTGTAGAAACAATTCTGAAATATTATCCCTGAAGATAACTCATCTATGGACAATTGGCTTTGAATAACCCACTGTAGCATTAAGCCACTTGGTACAGGTTCTCTGCAATATAGCTCAGGTTCCTCGTTTTAATAACTGTGAGTAGTGACATTACCCTCCCTTGTGGGTTCCAGATTCCAGCTGAGGGGTGGTGTAAGCAGTATCCCTGTCCTCACCCACAGCCATAGCAGACATTACCATTTGATCACTGATTCCAGCACTCTCTCCAGATCAAACTGGGAGCAGCAGGCCAGTCAATGCCAATCACCCTCATTGCCATTCCTGACTTGCAGTGAGATGAAGCAGGTAGAGAAGCAGCCATAGCAGATATTTTTCAAGGCTCTGAGGAATCGGTGTTCTTTGCTGTATTTGCACAGGGGAAAAGATGTGATAAGAAGTCTCTTCTAACAATCAAGACAGAGTGCCAATCCTGCTCCATTAGCTTTGCAACCAAGTGTCCAGACGGTTACATCAAGGTTACCAATGGCTCTGTAGGAGTTCGAGATTGCAGGTAAGCATTATGACGAGATAAGTGTGTCCACGCTTTGGTTCTCTGAGAATTGCAAATCCATTTGGATCATCCTATCCCCAATACTGCAAAGCAGTTCCAGGACTTATCTCTTACTCTAAGACTATACCGAGCCCAAACTTAGGTAACTCACAATCTATGGACTTGGGTCTAAATCTTTATGCCTACTGACTTGCATTTTAATACAAAATTGTGTTGTACACAAATACTCTCCTTCCTCTTGCTCTTATTTCTTTTGTTTGTTTGTTTGTTTGTTTGTTTGTTTGTTTGTTTGGAGACAGGGTTTCTCTGTGTAGCATTGACTGTCCTGGATTCACTTTGTAGACCAGGCTGGCCTCCAACTCACAGTGATCCTCCTGCCTCTGCCTCCCCGAGTGCTGGGATTAAAGGCATGTGCCACCACGCCCAGCTTTTTTTTGTTATTATTGTAGTCTTGTTTCATTTGGAAATGGTTCTCCAACTGGGGAGATTTCTCAGTGGACATGTGGGCATGAGAACCTGAGGCCAAGTCCCCAGTGCCCACCTAAATGGGCTTGTGGGTGCCTGTGACCCTACATTGGGAGCCAGAGAAAGATGGAGATCACTGGCCTGCCAGCCTAGCCCAAATGGCAAGTTTCCAAGTCAGTCAGTGACCCTGTCTCAAGAGGACAAGGTGGAACGTGACAGAGAAAGACACCTGACATCCTGCCCCAGCCTCTACTCATGAGCATAAGCATCCCTCACACTCATGTGCGTGCAACACGCACATGTACACACGTGCACAGAGTCTTAATTACTTAATTAGGGTTATAATTTGAACACGTTAAAAAAAAAAACTGTACGTTGCCTTGGCTACATAGCAAGATCCTGTCTCAAAACCAAATAAGTTTGTTAAGCCGCAGGTCTGGATGTTACTAATTAGAACCCAAAGATGCAGGATGGAAAATCTTTTAGCATTGCTGGACTGTCCGCATCACGTTCTTGAAGGTCTTATATGATCCGGAACCCTCATAATACAGGGCGGGTCCTCTCAAAGGGGAACGGGACCGTCTGTGTGCATACTAACAGTTGCAGCCTGGAGGCTACAAAGGCAAACACAATTTTTTCTTCATTCCACCGGCTGGCTGAGAAATGAGGCATTATTCAATTAGTGAAGTTTTTCATTTACGCATTATATACATGGCTACATGTTTGTGGGGATTTCGGAGGGTGTGTGTGTGTGTGTGTGTGTGTGTGTGTGTGTGTGTGTAGGCTACAGGTTGACAGTGTGTGTGTGTGTGTGTGTGTGTGTGTGTGTGTGTGTGTGTGTGTAGGCCACAGGTTGACATTGGGTGTCTTCCTCAATCACTGTCTATCTTTTGTTTTGAGACAAGGTCTCTCACTGAGTCAGCTGGACTGTCTGGCCAGAGAGCCCTAGGAAGCCTTCTATGTTCCTCCAATGCTATGGCTACAGGAGGGCACCTTTGTGCCCAGCTTTTTCAGTGGGTTCTGGGCATCCAGGCTCAGGTCCTCATGCTTACCCAGCAAACATGCGACCGGTGGAGCATCTTCCAGCCAAATGAGTTCATTTTTAAGTTCAAGAATGGCAAATTTTTGATATTTTTAACATGAAGGAAAGGAAACCTCAATGTTGTCATAAAACAATATTTTACATTCACATTTGCAGAGTATGATCACATGATATTATGAAACCAAAGTTTCCCAATACCAATCAATTAGCCAATTAACTCAATTAACCTGAGGGAGGGTATGTTTGCAATGACTCTCATTTTCTATTAAGATTCAAAGTTCAAGGTTAAAATTATATGGAATCTTACTAAGAATATTTTTGCACTCTTTTGATAAGGGTCAAGATGAGCATTTGGCTTTTCCCCGGGCTGCTACTACCACTACACACACACACACACACACACACACACACAAATTTCTCGTGGATGCTGCTCATTTTAAAATTGAAGATTGGTCACCTGTTGTTTATTTATGCAAAAAAAAATGATTGGTTCTTTAGTTTTATTTCATTTTGTATTTTTGATACTTTGAGAAATCACTTCATTGAGGCATGATTAACATACAAAAGCAGAACTTACTTAATGCACTTCAAGCCCAGTGTGCCTGTAACACCATCACGACTAGCTCCCCGTAAGCACCCTCATTGCTTCCGTCTGTTTCTCTCCATCCTCTTCTTCACTTTGACGAGAACCCTGACCCACTCTCCCCCATCTTTGCAAACTGTACGTGCACAGTTTTAAATTGACATCGTCGTTAGCTACAGGCATAGACTTTGCAATAGACCTCTAGAACTCACCTGTCTTACATAACAGAACTCTTCGGCCTTTGGCAAACACCTTACTTTCCCCACATTGATGCTGGGCTTCTGTCCATTTGCTTATCTGTGCTTCCTCGTCGAAGTAGGATAATGTGGTATTTGCCTTTCTGTGTTTGGTCTTTTCTCTTTGTATGCTACCCTCCAGTTAACCCATGTTGCCTACAAATGGCATAGTCTCAGAGCTGGAGAGATGGTCCAACAGTTAAGAATATTGGATGCTCTTCCAGAGGGGCCCAGGTTCAATTCCCAGCACCCACACAGTGGTTCACAACTGTGTGTAACTGCAGTCCAGAGAAATATGATGCCCTCTTCTGGCCTTTGGGCACATAGAGCACAGACAAGCTGGTAAAACATTCACACAAATTAAAAAATAAAATAAAACAAAAATTTAAAAACCAAATTTTATGATCTTGCATTTTAAGGCTAAATAATATCCATTGCAGATGCAATGTTCAATATTCTCAGTGACAAATGAACGTTTTTTTCTTTATCCATTCACCCATCAGTTAAAGCTTAGGCTATTTCCCTGTTGTGGCTATTGTGAATAATGCTGCAAGTACTATGGTCTCTACTGTGAAGTCTTATCCTAAAATGAGCTGGACTGCAAATACCCCATAAGCATACGGTGGCTTCCCGCCTTCAGAGAGCTGCAGCCAGATCTGCACCTCACTTGGTGCTAGAAATTGTTCTGAGGGACATAACAGAATATCTTCTCCACAGACGGTGTCATGTACTTCTCTATCTACACTGTAGCATCCCAGAGGTGGAATTTCTTTATAGAAATCATGTCTGCAATGAATATATTAATCTGAAGAAAGGAGATATGTCTTAAAGCTGCAGCCTTGTGCAGCTTATAACTAACTCGTTATCCTTCCTTTCTTGAACTGGCTGCTAGAATGTTCAGTGACAACTTGAGGCTTACTTTTAGACTTTCCCAAAACTAACTGTCATCATTTATTTTATTTAATAACTTCTGATATCACTGTAGATGCTGGTTAGTTTTTGTCAACCTAGAGTCACCATGGAGGAAAAAGCCTCAGTTGCAAAATTGTCTTCACCATGTTGGCAGATAGACACGTCTATGGGACATTTCTTTGGCTGATGATTGGTGGGGGCAGCTGGTCCTGGGTTATATAAGAAAGCAGACTGTCACTTGGGTTTTTTTATCTTAGCCATTCTGATGGGAGTAAGATGGAATCTCAGAGTCGTTTTGATTTGCATTTGCATTTGATGACTAAGGATGCTGAACATTTCCTTAAGTGCTTCTTGGCCATTCGAGATTCCTCTATTGATAATTCTCTCTTTAGCTCTGTACCCCATTTTTTAATTGGATTGTTTGGTTTGTTAATGTTTAACTTCTTTAGTTCTTTATATATTTTGGATATTAGCCCTCTATCGGATGTCAGGTTGGTGAGGGTCTTTTTCCTAGGCTGTAGGCTATTGTTTTGTTCTACTGACAGTGCCTTTTGTTTTGTAATAACTTTTCTGTTTCATGAGATTTCATTTATTAATTGTTGATCTTAGAACCTGAGCTGTTGGTGTTCTGTTCAGAAAGTGGTCTCCCATGACAATGAGTTTAAGTCTGATTTCCCACTTTCTCTTCGAATAGATTTACTGTTTCTGGGTTTATGTTGAAATCTTCAAACCCCTTAGACTTGAGTTTTGTGCAAGGTGCTACATACAAGATATGCAGGGGAAAAAAATAGAGCAGAGATTGAGGGACTGTCCAACCAGTGCCCGGCCCAACCTGAGACCCACCCCTGACGCTATGAATGATGCTCTGCTATGCTTGCAGACAGGAGCCTAGATAGCTGTCCTCTGAAAGGCCTCACCCAGCAGTGGTGGACGGAGTGAAAGGAGTCTTGTGGAAGAGTAGAGGGAAGGATAGAAGGACCCAGAGGGGACAGGAGCTCCACAAGAAGACCAACAGAGCCAACTAACCAGGGCCCGGGGGGGGGGGGGTTCTGCTGAGACTAAAGCACCAACCCAGGACCGTGCACAGATTAAACCTAGGCCCGCTACACAGATGTAGCGGATGAACAGCTTGTCTTCATTTGGGTTCCCTAGTAAAGGGACTGGGAGCTGTCTCTGACATGGACTCTGTTGCCTGCTTTTTGATCAATTCCTCCTGGCAGGGCTGCTTCACCAGACCACAGGGGAAGAAGATGTGCTCAGTCCTGATGATGTGATGTGCTGGGGTGGGTTGAGGAGAGCTCCCCTTTTCTGAGGAGTAGGGCAGGGAAGATAAGGGGAAGAGGAAAAGAAGGTGGGACTGGGAGGAGAGGAGGGTAGCTATGATAGAGATAAAAATGGAAGGAAGGAAGGAAGGAAGGAAGGAAGGAAGGAAGGAAGGAAGGAAGGAAGGAAGGAAGAAGTTAGTTAATTAATTAACTACCCAATAAGCAACATTGCTGCATGGTCCCTGCTTCAGTTCCTGACATAAATTTCCTCAATAATAGACTGAGACATATGTCCTCCAAGTTTCTTTGGATAATGTTGTTTATCATAGCAATATAAGGCCCTTTATTTTCATTGTTTCTTAATTTTATTTGGCCATCTGTAACAATTCAAAATAATGCATGATTAGGCTTATTCTGCCTAGCAAAAACCAAACAATATATATGTCTGTTATGTTTTTATTTAATATATGTTTATTTACAATAAATATATTTTAAGATATATTAAAAACCTAAATTAAAATCTAGGGCCTGGCACTGATAAGATGGTTCCATGGGTAAAAGTGCTTGCCATCCAAGCCTGATGACCTGAGTTTGATCCTCAGAACCTAGATAAAGTTGGAAGGGAGGAACCAGCTTGACAAAGTCATCCTCTGACCTTCAGATGCATTCATGCTGTATACATGCATACACACATACATATATACATATATATATATACACACACATACCATATACACATATAACAATAAACAAATAATAAAAACAAAATCTAAGACAATCGCAGCACCTAGCATTAACTCAATTCTTTTTTTAATTAAATTTTTATTTTTTTACATTAATTACATTTCATTTGCTTTGCATCCCAGCTTTAGCCCCCTCCCTCATCCCCTCCCAATCTCACCCTCCCTCCCTCATCTCCTCCCATGAACTCTATTCTTATGATTGTGGGTTAACGTCCTCTCTTTATTTTCCAAGGTTTTCGTTTGAGATCAGAACGTATAGCCTGGCTCTCCCTGGGTGCCGTCACATATGCAGGAAGGATTACCTCCAACCTCAATGTTGTCCAGGACACTGGGGCCCAGACTGCATGGGTAAGTGACACAAGCTTCGGACTTTAAAACATGCTTCTCCAGATACCAGAAATGTGACAGGAAGGAAGCCTAGGGAAAGAAAACATAAAGATGGTTTTCTAGAACTTTGCATTTCATCTATACGTAGAAAACTCTCTTTTTCCATCAACTTTTATACAGAAATTTGCTTGATACAGTTAGTTATCTCTCTTCAAAAGAATTCCTTGAAGCCAAACCTCCTGACACATTCCTATAGACCCCATAGTTAGAATGCTCAAACAGGAGAATCATGATTTCGAGGCCAACTTGGCCTGCAAAACAAATTTTAGACCAACCTAAGCTATATAACAAGATCCTGTCTCCAAAGAAGAAAGGAGATGAAAGAATGAAAGAAAGATCTTTTATAAGTTATAAAATCTACAATTGAAAGAATATTTCTATCACATACATGTGTATTGAGGAGAGCATATGTTAATGTGTATATATGTATATGTACATATAAAAGGTAATGCCAAAGAACACTGGGCATTTATTATCCCACACACAACATTTCTTAAGAATAAACTCTATTACAACATCTCAAAGACTGTTATTTTCTTTATCCACATCAAAAATAACCATGAATCACTGGGTGTAGTGGTGTACGGCTTTAATCCAATCACTAGGAGGCAGAGGCAGGCAGATCTCTGTGAGTTCCAGGCCAGCCTGGTTCACAAAGCAAGTTCAGGGTAGCCAGGGTTCTGTTACACAGAAAAATCAAAAAATAAAGTAACCATGAGGAATTCTAAAATTTTACATCTATGATCTTATACATCAAAAACTATACTGCTGACCTTAAACAAAAACCTAGTGTGATAAGCTATGGAAAGTTAACTGTATATGCAGTTATATGGACATATATGCATATGTTAGAGTACTTTGGTTGGTTGGTTAGTTGGTTGATTGATCTTGCGTGCCAACTTGATACAAGCTAGAGGCATCTGTTAAGAGGGACTCTCAACTGAGGAAATGCCTTCAACCGATTGGCCTATGATAGGCAAATCTAAGGGGAATGTTTAGATTACTGGTTTACATGAGAGGGTCCAGCCTGCTGTGGGCAGGGCCGCTCCTGAGCAGGTGGTCCTGGGCAGCCCAGAAGAGCAGGCTGAGTACAGCCTGGCAGGACTGCAGAAAGCAGCATTCTTCCGCAGGCTCTGCTCAACTCCTTCCTCCAGGTTTCTGCCCTAACTTCCGTCAGTGACAGACTGTGACGTAGAAGTGTAAACCAAATGAAACCTTTCTTTTGCAGACTTGCTTTGAGTTACGATATTTCTCACAGCAATGGCAAGCTAACTATCAGAGCATGGATACATAAAAATTAACTCCAACCAGGTTCCATCCACCCAGTCGATGATAACTTCAGACCTCTGTGACCAATCGTAACATTTCCTAGTTGAAACCAATTCTAGATGTCAATGCCCAAACATCAACTGGTCCTTTCTGTGGTGGGCAAACAGGGGGTCCCCTCCCTGTTTGGGGTAGGTGAAATTTTTAATTCATTATGAATTCATCATTTGGTCCCTAGCTTCTAAGACAGTGTGGAAATATCCCTCTGGGATCCAGTCATGAGGAGGTTTGTTTCTGCCTGACTGTGCATGGCCACAGAAATACCTACCTAAACACAAAAGAAGTGAGAAGGCAGTGTGACTCACACACTGACACTCAGGGACGCTAGCCTTCTGCATTAATCTTGATCTTGATGTTTTTCTCCCTAACTTCCAAATCCTATATACCCAACTTTATACTCAAAACCGTGTGGTCTGCTTGTCTTCCCATAAGTAATGACTAACTGAGTAATGGCTTCCACTTCTTCCACACTCTTGGCGTTAGGTATAGGGATGCCCTGGACTTTTCATCATCTGATATAATTTTTGAATATTCCCATTTTGACTAGAAAGAACCAGGTATTTGAAGCGTGTGTCTTTCTGGTTTCCCTTTCTGATGCTACATGATCCATCAGGCACTAAAAGTTATCATATTTCCATCTTGTCCTCTACCTAAAGCAGAGCTTGTCAAGGAGAGAAAATGGGACAGGAACATGTGCTGTTTCTAACTCCTCTCTTGGTGTCTTCACCTCCCCTGCCACTGTCTTCAGTGTGTTTCTTGCCCTGGAAAGATAAAACTTTGGCATTAAGATATCCAAACTATTCTATTGATAGCTCTGTTGCCAGCTTTACTCCATATTCTGATTTTATTTCTGTTGCTGTGACAAAATACTTTGCCCACAAAAAAAACTTAGAGGAGAAAATAATTTATTTCATCTCATAATTCCAGATCACGTACATCACTGTGGGGAAGGCAAGACAGGAACTTCAAATAGTCAAACATGCAGTCAAGAGCACAAGGAAAGACATATGTGTGTGCTCGCTTGCTTGTGCTAAGCTTGCTTTCACCCCTCTTAGACAGTTCAGGAGCCCCTGTGTAGGGAATAGTGTCACCCATAGTGGGCTGGGTTTTCCCACATCAATTAACTTAAGATAAATGTCTCTCTCTCTCTCTCTCTCTCTCTCTCTCTCTCTCTCTCTCTCTCACACACACACACACACACACACACATACACACACACAGATCCAAAGACCAACTCAATGTAACCAACCCCCCACTGAAGAAGCTCTCTTCCCAGGTGATTCTGGGTTCTGTCAAGTGGCAGTTGTAGCTAACCATCACACCTGCCCACAGACACCGCCTGCTCCTGTGACCATCATACATCAGATTCAAGTGATCAAGTCAGTTTTCTTTAGAGTAGTCCATGCTTTCAGAGTTCAAGGATGGCTTTTGGTGCCAAATATATCCATGACAGCATCCACTTCTCACGGCCTCCTTGTTAGACTGGAAAGAGTGTTTACATTTGCTTTTCTCTTTCTGCCTCATAAAACTAATGTGATGTAGTTGTTGGCCTGCCATAGCATACACAAGAGCAAGCTTTGGCTGAGGGGTATTAGGAAACTTAGCATGTCCAACAGAAAGAATGGCACACCACATCCATACTACATGCGAGCATTTTCAAAATAGATCTCTGATAATAACAGATAAATAAAATGATGCCCTTTTCTGAGCCCTTTAGTAAGCATAAACATTATCTAAAACATGAGATGCAAACAGGACTCGAACCCTTACCCATTGTCATCACCCTGCTATGCCATGTGCTGGCAAATATATCAAGGTTCTCTCCCAGGATCAGGAGTGCTAAAAAACATTTTTCTTTTGAAAGCTCAGGCATTTCCTGTGAACAAGATCATAGCCAGAGAGGCGGAACATGAAAATGGATGCCTGACATCAATTCAGTTCTCTAGTAAGGCCAAAGGGTACTACCCTTTATCTTCATATTCTAAACAAACCAAGTGTCACAAAGGGCTTCCTTCCTTCAGCTCAGGAAGGAGATAAGCCCTTTCCTTGGCTGGCTGTTTTAACTTGCCCACTCTATGGCCATGACAAGCAGGGTCTTGACTATCACTTTACATTTCCGCAGAGACAAGGCCAGCTCAGGGCTGCTGACATGGGTCCATCCCTCTGCTCCGAGGAAGCACATTCCCAACCTCCCTCTGACCTTGTGTTGGAGGCAGATGGGCATCGGTTTCCTTTATAGTCTGACAACAAACACATCCATCAGCAGCATCTCAGGGAAAAGTATTTTCATAATGTCTCATTCTGGGAAAAATGATCAGTCCTGAAAATTCAGAAAACACCATAAGCAAAATGAAAAAAAAAAAAAACAAATTATCTATCATCTTCTAAAAATAAGAATTAGGCATGCATCCTCACTGGGGGTGGAGGGAAGAAATAGCTTCCTAAGATAGGAAAGATGTTTTTACTGCAATTTAATCTGATTCACCCTAGTTAAAATTACCTCTACTTTTTCAAGCATGCTTATACAGAAACCTATTTTTAACTTGGCAGTTTAATCACATTTGAACAGAGTTTTGCTCTGTTGCACAGGCTGTTCCAGAGCTCACTATGTAGCCCAGGCTGGCCTTTAAGCCCTGGCAATCTCTTGCCTCAGTTTCCTTATTGGTCATGTGGCAGCCACACACCACCACGTTTGGCACTGAATAGCCCATATTTTACCTGCCACAAAACCAACTGTTTTTCATTTACATCCATTTTCTTAGTATTTAGTCATGAACACAATGGTTTTGTACAGCAACACAAGAGTCTGAATGTGTGCAATGGAGTCACACACACACACACACACACACACACACACACACACTAAAGCTCATTTGGAATCCTAGCAATCCATTTCAAAGTGAAATGGCCATTTTAAGATTTAGTGAGTTAGTTTAATGTGTGTTTGCCTGTTACAGTTTATGCACATCACATGTATGTAGGTGCCCACCTCAGAGCAGGAGCAGGAGCAGTAAACACTTGTAGTGGCCAAACCATCTCTTCAGCCTCCACAAAAGAAGTGGTCTCTGTTTTTCTATGTCCAGCTTAGTGTTGCTATACTCAGTGAGACTGTTTTTTTGTGCTGTGATATTTACATTCCCCAGCCCCTGCTCCCCCATTTCACATTCCTTGCTAGGTGCCACACACTTTACAAAAATACCTAAGGGATCTGTGGATCAAGAGCCATGCTGTTCTGCCAATGTGTGTATGCACTGAGGGGTACACAGTGCTGAGCTCACGTGAGGAACTTAGCTCATGTCTGTTTGCTGGCAGACGGTTCCAACCGGAGTGATGCCTGACATATCAGGGTGTGTTTTCTGCTAGTGCTGTGCAGTGAGCTAAGACTGCCTGGGCTAGGCAACCTCTTAACAGATAAGGCTCTGTGGATGGTGGGGGTGGCACCTCTTGCTGGGCAGGAAATGAATTATCTTGTTTTGAAGCAACAGACCAGCTGGTGATTTGCTGACAGCAAATCATGAGAAAAGCCTTGACACAAAGGCCACCCACCAGCAGTGACCTAAAGGAACCATGATAATGACCTAAAATAGTCTCATCAGCTACTTCAGCCTCACAAAGCATCACAAATATGCCCCTGA